AAATAAAAATCATTAGAAATTCCGATGCGCGAATCGCCAGGACGGGATTTCATTTTCATTTTGATTACTTGGAGTCGCACTACTCCAAGTAATTTAATCAATTAATCTTTGATCTGATCCAGGGATTCATCACTGGGCAGACATTTCAAGACAACCTTGAAGATACGTTCAGTTTTGGTGCCGTAAGTAAAAAATGTGTGTTGCTTCTCAATAAGGTATTTGTGAAAACGTTTGATTCCGTTCAAGGTTTCAGCCAATACATGGAATTCGCCCGACGGTTAATTTGAAGTGAAAACTTAAATTGAACAAAGTTCAAAAGTTCCTTGCGAAGAGCATAAAAATCGGAAGTGGTTACAACAATAGGAGGAATCTTTTCCGTTTTTGGCATTAAACCAGGAATAGTTAATGGAATTTTGCTTTCCCATCATCCGTAAGCATATCAAATTGATTGCTCAATTGAATTTTATCAGAAGGAGGCTCAAACGATTCCCCTTTCTTTTGCGCTTAGGCGCGATGGCGGCAGAACCAAATTTATCCAAATCGAATTCCAAGCAGATTATTATAAAAATCCATATCCACGCAGGATTACCTCGGTTAGGGTCCAAACAAGGATCAAAGAAGAATATTAAAATATAAATTTATACTTTTTTTCCAAATCTATTTCCAGGTATATTTGAGCAGCGAAAAGTGCTGTTTAAATTTGTTGTAGCTTTAGCAACACTTCCTTTAGCAAAAAGCAAATAAATCCGCACGGCAAGAGAGCACGATGCGGACTGTTTTATCGTATGTAATGCAAACGTTTGACCTTTATACGATGCACACATTTTGTATCATGTAAGAGTTCAAATTAAATCGGAAAAACTCGTAAGACATAGTTGGAGATGCTTATCAGACTTAAAGTGTTCATTTTATACGATAGATGAGGAGATGAAAGCATAGAGTTGATAGTTCCGTTAGAGTACGGCAGTGTGAGATAATTGTATATAGAGAGTAGAAAGCGAACAAAAGTCTATTTTGAGTATGGTACGAATCGGGTTGATCATCTCCTTTACCAAACTCCCCCGTTGGAGAGGGATGGTGAGGGGTATCTTCTCCCGCCATCACTGGCATGATCGCCCATTTGCTCACGTACCTTCGTTGTGCGGAAACACTTCTATCTATTGTTTCAAACTCAAGTCGTCACATGACGTAAGCATCTAGTCGATAGGTTTGAAAATTGCAGCTGTTGTTACCTCTACCGCTGTATGTGCTCCTGTCATCGTCAACTTAACGATCTCGGGAAGACACGGGTAGGGGAGGTGCTGCTACTGTACCTTTCGACCAATGACAGTATGATTGATGGTAAGCTCTCATCAAAATTGAACTTTGCTCGCTTTCTACTCTTTATAGAGTTCTCCAGATGCACAAAAGTGTAATTGAGACCACGCGTTACCTTTTTAAGTAGTTGTGATATCGCAATACCTTTTTGGTTCTTCTTCTTCTTCATTTTTTATACATGGATGTTGGATTTTAGTGTTCGTGAGATTGCGCTTGGAGATCTCTATATACAATGTTCATACTCTAACTCTAACACCGTACTCTAACGGAACTGTCAACTCTATACATTCATCTCCTCATCTATCGTATAAAATGAACACTTTAAGTCTTAGTTGAAGATGCTAAGCGTTAAATAACAAAACTTTGAAGAAGGTAAGAATCGGGTTGATTATCTCTCTTTACCAAACTCCCCAGTTTGAGAGGGATGGTGAGGGGTATCAAGAAAGCAGATGTGTGCGTTGGTCGAATTACCTTTGTATGGGTCCCCTCAAATTGCTCAATTCCAGGCAAGGAGAAGGCGGACTCTCTAGCAAAGGTGGGCGCTCAAGTAGGTGAAATTTTTGATAGAAGAAATTCACATGACGAATTTTTCCCATTAGTACGTCAGAGTTCTCTTCTAAGTTGGCAAAACGATTTGACGAGTAATACTCTTGGGCGGTGGTTACCTTCCATTATTCCAAATGTTTCTTCGAGAGCGTGGTTCAAAGGTCTGGATGTTAGCAGGGGTGGGATCCAGGGATGCCAAAAGGGAATCTGTGTTTTTGTTCCGAAATTGTCCAGAAAATCTGTGATGATATCTGTATTAATAATTCTGCTATTGTAAACAAAGATTCAAACGTCAATTTGTCAAAACTCTTAGCACTCCCACGCAAACTAGCACCACCACCAGAAAGGATAATGTTTCCTTATCAAGATGGTGTTGTAGGTTTGCGCAGGGAGTGCAAAGAGTTTCGACAAATTGACGTTTGAACCTTTGTTTACAATATCCGATGCGTCTCTTTGAAAAAGTAATCGAGAATTTATTAATTTAATCCTATAAAAATGTTTTAGCACAGTGTTAAAGCGATTTTTTCCCGCGTTCTATATTTCTGATACACGGTTAGAAAAAAGTACCCAAAAGTATGTTATTTTCACTCAACTCGGCACTATAGTGCAGGAACCCAAAAGTAGGTAAAGCGGGCCAAAGTAGTTTTCATATACTTGTGTGCAATTCGTATGGAATTTTCCACTAGCTTTCTACCCAAAAGTAAGTTAGTTGTACCCAAAAGTAGGTAAACATGATTATACGCAACGTTGGGTTCCCACACTTTACTACCCATGTTGGGTGGTTTTGCTCCTTTGTTTTTGACAACATTAGAAGGAGAAAAGGAGACAAACTAGTCAAAAGTAAGTAAAAGTGAACTTTCCGTTGGGTACTTTTTTCTTACCGTGTAGAGTCATGAAACTGAAAAAAGATAAAAGATTTATACATATAGGGGAAACGCTCCTATAGTTGCGGTACGTTAGAAGCGTTAGGTTCCTATAGTTGTGTACGGAGTCTCCATACACAACTATAGGAACCTAACGCTTCTAACGTACCGCAACTATAGGAGCGTTTACCCTATTGCCTGTTTGACTGAAAACCGATGCGAAGTTTTGCTAGCAGCACTTTTTCGCTTGTGTAACTTTGTATCGCAACTCATTCGCGACTTCGGATCATTGGTGCGAGAGCAGTATATTATAAATAACCATGTAAAATTGCATTACCATGTTTAACACTTTGGGGCTATTAGATTTTTTCCAGGTCTTGAACTTCGAAACATTTCTAAGATTCTGAATTCTTCAAACTATAAGGTCTCATCAAGGAAAAGAATGGATCGCGTACTTGATCCTAATTCTAAGATATCTGGCTAGGAAATCTTATGGATTTTACCATAGGAGTAAATAGCTGGGACGGGACTTGACAATAGGGTAGTGATTTCGAGCTAATTTGCTGTAAAATCTGAGCCAGTTTCTGATTGGTCGATTTGACAGTAGCAATCGTGGAATAAAAAGGACAGAGGAATCGCATCAATCTGGCTGGCAGTGATGCCTGAGTCAATGTTGACGTCAATGGCGTTGTTAATTGTTTATATTTGCGAAAGGAAAGTTGAAAAATTGAGTGCACTGCGTGTTTTAAGCTATGGATATTGTTGTTTGTTTATGGTTGTTTTTATTGTGTTGAGCAAAAATGATGTACAAGCTGCTAAACTGCGGTAGAAGCTCCGAATAAAATCCAAATTAAAATAGAAAAAAATATTTTACATTCCTCCCCGTCAAACACCACGCACAACTTTTCGAAGGGCATTCTTCAAAAACATTAAGAAGAGTGAAAAGCTCGATTGTCAAGTCCCGTCCCGGGAAAATAGCTACACAGTTGCCGTCAACGCCAATCGTCGCCTACCTCGTATAACAGGTTCCAAACGTAAACAAGCCATAAGAAACCTACATGGTTTGTTTACGTTTGGAACCAATATCATACAAGAATGATCAGTAGACTGATTAGACAGCACGTCTCCCTCCAGGATGTTAGTCGGGGCCAGGAGACTGGCAACCCCATATTAATCCTATACGTTGGACATACTTTGGCAAACTCAAATTTGGGTCGTTCTCATTCGCCGTGATATCACCTTGAAAGATATCGGCGCCGATGGTTAGCGTGATTACCTGTCACCCCAGCAGGCCTGGGTCCAATATCAGTCGGCGCCACCGGCATGTTCATCTCTGATCACGCCTTCCTTCGGGAAGTAAAGCCGTTGGTCCCGGTTGAGTTGATGGTAGGGTCCAGGTGTTGGAGCTGCCTCCCTGGCGTCGGTAGCATTGGAGCTCAGTACGGAATACAAATCTCGCGTCACTTTTCAATAGGTCCTATCTACATTGATTGATTCTCTTTATCGACAATCTATTTCGTAAATAACTCGGCTTCACAAATGTTTCCTGCCGTCTTCGTCGAATTAGATGCTAGATTGTTGCTTCTTCCATCGAAAATATCCGGCCGTGGCGATTCAAAGTTGATCAAGGTCTCATTTTTCAGGAACACCTTCAGCACGCCTCGTAAATCAGACCGGAGATACGTCAGACACCGCCACGGCTGGTAATCTCGAAGAATTTGCGTTTGGTTCTGAATATGGCGATGAGTGTGCAAAATATTACGCAATTCCATCCTCCCTATTCGCACGCGCCCGAGGATCGACTTGTTTCGTCTACTTACTACTCTCTGACGACTGTGCTGGGGAAGCAGCATATGCATGTAGGTAATTGGTGGATTTGTTAGTGAATTCGACGCTTTTGGACAATGCTGGACATTTACCAGTTTTTCAATAGTTTCTTGTTGAAAATCAACATTCGAAATTGTTATCGATGCGTAGCCATATTTCTGATCGATTGGTGATAAAATTATTGAAATTGGACCAGGGGCAGCTGGGTTATTAACGTTCAAAATCTTTCTTAATTTGATACATGTTCCATTTTCGGTTTTCACAAAGTGTACCCCCATATAGAAATCAAAGACGTAGTTCTACGTCAAAATGTCTACATCCTGATGCACGTGGGCGTCTTAGTGGAATACCTGTATAAAGAGAGAGAAGAATAGAAATTACTAATCCTTCTCTCTCTTTATAAAAAATTTACTACTTTTTTATGAAATCATTATGTTTATATTACAGGATGTGGCTTCATCGGTCGCCACCTGGTAGACTACCTGGTGTCGAACGAGCTTGCTGAGGTGATCAAAGTCGTGGACAAAACGCCTCCACAAATGGCGTGGCTAAACCAGCGGCATACGGACGCCTTCGCTAGTCCAAACGTTGAGTACTGCAGTGCCAATCTGATCAATCCTGCCTCCTGCCAGAACGCATTTAAAACGGACGACGGTTCGGGGTGGGATTATGTGATCAATTGTGCTGCCGAAACGAAGCCGGGTCAAACGGATGCCGTCTACCAGGAGGGAATCGTAAAACTGGCCATGAATTGTGCCACCGAGGCTGTGAAATATCGCGCTAAGCGGTTTGTCGAGCTCAGTACTGGAAGCATGTGCTCGAGCGAAAAGATCCCACAGAAGGAGGACTGCCCAGTGGAACCGTGGACCATGGTGGGTAAATATAAAGCTCTAACGGAGCAGGAGCTGGCGAAGGTGGAAGGGTTGAAGTACACAATTTTGAGATTGCCGATATGCTACGGAGTCGGCGATAGAAAAGGATTAAGTAAGTAATTAAGCATCATTCAGTTGCATACCGTCTGGAATAAAATGGCTTTCTTCATTGTAGCACCTCGTTTAATTATATCTGGAATATACAAATACCTCAATGAAACAATGAAACTTTTGTGGACTGATTCGATGAAAATGAACGTTGTTCACGTGGAGGACGTGTGCTGTGCCTTATGGGAGCTTGTGCAGAACGAACGAACCGTCGGTGAAACGATCAATGTCTGTGATGACAGTGAAGCCACGCAGGAAACCATTAGTGATTTACAGGCAGACATATTTGGTATTAAGATTGATTACTGGGGAGTTGTCATGTCTAGCATGACCAAAGTTGACATGGCTGGTGCGATTGAGGAAGTCAATGATAAACACCTTGGACCATGGGCTGAAGTGTGCCAGAAAGATGGTGTGCTGAATACTCCACTCACACCGTATATGGACCAGGAGCTTTTACTATACAAGCATTTAAATTTAGACAATAATAAACTTAAAAGCTATGGATACGAGCTAAGACGCCCCAAAATTACTCGAGAAAGTCTTGAGGAGATGGTTAGGGATTTCATCGCCATGAACCACTTCCCCAGATCGCTTCTTGAGGCCTAATGAGTCAAAGTACTTCGACGAAATGAAACATCTTAAGAAACTTAATTGCTCAATATATCATCCTTATATACGAAGTAATGAAAGCTATGTGATCTCGGTTTTGCAATTCGGAAAACAGTGTACTGAAAACGATGCCTAGCATTATAGAAATGAAACTTGTATAATGGGAAACCCCCCAAGTAAAGGAATTGAAATATTAATAATGAAACTATTAGTGATAGCTTGTATTCCTTATGAAACAAAATGTTGAAACGTACTTTAAAAATGTGCAGTATGTGCCTAACAATTACATAATCACACAAGTGTAATAGTAGAAAAGAATATAATAAATCGTTTCCCATATCATTCCTCTGTCGATTTCTTTAATTTTCTTGAGAAATAATCCTACACATTGGGAGGGGAACATCAGGTTTGATTCAATGTGCGTCGATTAGAAGAAGGTAATTTTCGAACTACATTCATTCGTGATTCAGAATGCGATCTTGAGGAAGATAGAAGATAAACCACAGAAGTCAAGGACTAAACCCGGCGACAGTATGTGGCTCTAGAGAAGGAAGTTCAGCGCTCCTATAAAACTGGGAAGACAATCCATAATGCACCCCATAATGGGTAAAGTAGACCGCGCTGGTTTACGGAGATAAATTCATTTAAAGATTTCGAATATATAAACACCCTTGAAAGCTTTTTTTTATTATCATAGTCACTTTAACACTCTTGGGTCATTCGTGACTTTTCCGGGGATGAGATTTGAACTCAGGACATTGCCATGAGAGGTATGCTGCCTATAATCGCATATCAGTCCCATATGTGATTTACGGAGATTTTCAGAGATAAATGTATTTGAAGATTTCGAACAATAACAATTTACGTTTTATTTACGGTGATAAATGCATTTAAAGATTTTGAATTATTAACTCATTACCTATATTACCCTACCGTATAACCGCGTGTCTTTGGTCTATTTCACTCTGAGAGGTGGAACGGGTTTGGGATGAGTTTTCAAGACCTTGGCTACCTTGCAGAATGGTCTGGAGCGGTCGTCCAGATTCTGGACAACACGCCCGAAACTTTCATTTCGGAGTGAGCCCATTCTGGAAGCAATCTGCCTGTTCAGATCGACCATTTCACGTTTTTGTCCAGATCTCCAGTCCTCTGAAACTGGTGTCTACGCACATCTCTCAAACGAATCAGTAATTGGGTGTGGGAATCAGTAGCAACAAACTTACCCCTCAAAGGAACTTGTCGAACACATGCCTCGTCAGCCACGGATATGGCCTGTTGGGGTCCATCGAACGCCCGGTCGATGTCATCTACGGTGTCAAGCGGCGGATCTTCGTCGATGCCGCTGTCAACCACACGTCCAAAGTGCACCCAGTATTTGCACAGGCTTCACGAAACGAAAATCAATTATTTTATTCATGTGTTTCACTTATACATTTTTGCCAAAACATCAGCCTTATACATTCTATAAGACAAACCACATAGGTCCTATAAAAATGCATAAAAGGTATGTGTGACCGCTTATACATTTCACTTGACACATGATCTTCATTAACTTTTTGCAAGACGTCTACTTATCAGTTGACTTATACATTTTATGAATAATCAGCAATAGAAATTTGTCAAAAGGTATAAGGAGATTTCTATCCGTGTTGGAGCAGAAGCCATGTTGATGCCGACTTCAGCCATCACTGGTTGGTGGACGGAACTAAGATCGCTGTGCACCTCCGGTTTGGATAGTCCGATGTTTGGCAGTAAAAAGTCCAGGGTGGCGTGATCTCCCGCCGGAGAGATGAAAGTTGGTTCGTCCGGAAACTGCACAGTGTACAGTCCGTGTTGTGCGTGATCGAATAGTAGACATCCGTTCCGGTTCCGCTGGTAGTTTCGCCAAGCTTCATGATGGGCATTCAAGTCACCCCCAACGATGAATCGGGAGTTAGAACAAGTGATGGCGGTCAGGTCGTTCTTGAACTTGCTTGCTAATCCGTAGATGGCGACACACTGCCGGGGACAGTAAACAGCGATGAACCGGACATTTCCAGTTGGCGATTCCACCTCCACACTAAGAGCTTCGGTAATAGAAGTGTGGATGTACGGCAAGGTGTAGAACTTGATTCCTTTCTTGACGACTACCGCAACACTACCCCCTGGAGCTGGTGCGATCAAGCCGGATTATGTTGTGGTCAGGCAACCAGAAGCTTTCGCCGGACTTTAGGTGGATCTCGGTTAGAAGGCCCACGTCGATGCTGTGCTTGCGGAGAAAGTCGGCAAGCTCAATCTTTTTTACTCTTATAGAGCAAGCATTCCAGGTGACAATAGTTAGCGGTTTAGACGCCATACTGGATGATAAACTTACCGAGTACTTGGATCTGCTGCGATGTTGGTTGTTTCCAGAATCCAGGAGAGGGGGAGAACTTTATCCAGCAGAATCACTGGAAGCTTCTTGAGGGGGGACGTGTTGCACCAGTGAATTCGTTTGCCTTTGATCAGGAGCACAAAGAGGCGGGCAATCCTTCGTCCTGAAGGCTGTAGCCTTTTCCTTTCTCTTTCCTGGTTGGTTGTTGGTTGATGGCTGCTTCCGGATGCGTTTGAAGTCCTCGCGTTTGCCACTGTCTGTCGGAAACGTGGTAAGCACCACAACAGTTGGTGCACTTTAATGCCACGGCTCCATCCGCAGTTCAGCTGGAAGTGGAGTGTTCTTGACCGCAGTTGCTGCAGCGTGGCTTCATGTTACAGTTGCGGGTACCGTGTCCAAAGTTGAGGCACCGTTGGCACTGCGTTACGTCACGATGGCCGTCACGGTATGGCTCCCAGCGTACGATGACGGAATAAATCAACTGGATGGCTTGCAAACGCGTTGAGTGTCACCGTCCCTTTTTGGAAATGAACCAGGAAAAGACAATCTGGGTAGGTCTTCACGCTTTTGACTCTCCTCGTCATCCGGAAAACAGCGATTGGGGCCAGCTTGTACTGGTCCTTGGTTTCGTTTTCGATCGCCTTGGGGTCAAAGTTTGATAGGCCCCTGATTACCACCTTGAAGGGTTTCTCACCAGGGATGTCATGCGTGAAGTATTCGGCCTTGGAATCCTTCAGGTAATTGATGGCCTGATGGGATGCCTTTGTAGGTAGCATCACCTTGGTGCCGATTATGCTGAGTTTTGTACTCAGCTGCGACACACAGCGATTCGAAATCGCCAATCAAGCGTGTTTAGTGGTTCTTTTTTCACCACCAGTGGAGGAAGCTTCACTTTTGCCGCACTCGAGCCGGCAGAGTTCTCGTTATCGACGGTGTCGCCGAAATCACCGATGTCGCTGGCGTTCATCGCGCCCACTTCCTCTTCTTGGTCTGCTTCATCACTGCTGGTGTGGTATTCTCAGCATCGGTTGGAAGAGTAGCGTACCTATTCGAAATAGGTATCAAGCTACCCTCACCACTGTCCTTCTTTTCCGCTTTTTCTCGGAGCTTGCTCCGGGAGCACTGCCTTCCCATCACACGATGCGACCGGCACTTCTGTCGACGCGAATAAACGCGCAGTAAAACTGCGAACGTTTGGGACAAACAGACAAACTGGAAACTTATCGAACAACTCGACAGTGCGAGCAAAAACCGAACTGTACTGCTTGACGGTCACGCAGAGAATCGTGGAATGCTACCAAAAACTCAAGTGTGCTCTTTCATATCCTCGTATATCAATTGTTGAATTTGGTTTAGAACATCGGCTGAAAATCTCTTTAATAAAACTAACCATAATTTTAACACCAAACGAATCTTGCATCCAATCTAAATCAAATGGTGTAATAAGATTTGACATGCATCCATTAATGACCGAATTACATGCATTCAAACCCCCCCAGCACTATTTCATAAAGGCCTTAATTTGCAATTTAATGGGTTTGCTCACCAGTATATTCCACAAAGACGTATTCTTTCGGCAGAATAATTAATTATAGATGTTTCTCTTGTCATTTTCGATCCAATAAAAAACTACCGTCCATTTCGTTATAGTAGGGGCTTTCTTTACGTTGTTCTACAAATTCACAAAACATTTCCTAAGTTTTGACGTATAATCTATATTTTTAAAGTGCATCAAATTTCTTGACTCTCATGTTTTTTTTTAAGTTGGACTGTGTCTTCGCTTCGTTTGTAAACTTTAAGCATTCCATTGTTGTTTTTATTAAACCGTCATCGTGTTTGCAGTAGCTAACTGTGCTAGCGCTTTTGGGGTTGAACATTGAAATCATATCCAGTATCGTTATCCTTCTCTTCACATAGCGAGCGCTGTTATTTTTTACTTAACTTGTTTTTTTTTCACACAGACAACAGAAAGTTACACATTCATTAATAATTGCAAAAGTGGTATCAGTATTCTGTAAGTACAATGCTAGCTTGTAGTCGTGTCGTTTTTGAGTACTATATTTTGGATTAAACATTTTAAAATGGAAACATTTTAGGTCACAATTGGCGTTTGTCAAGTTCAGATTGATGTATAAAACTAACGACACATATAATTTCAAGTGACCTTTACAAGTATTTGTAGAATGTACACGTAAGACGACAAACTAAATAGGGGGAAACAATTAAGAAGGGGAGTATCGTTGTTAACAAAAGTACGCACGACAATGTGAGAAAAAAAACTGTTTCTAATGTTTCTAATAGCACAAAGTTCAACGAAAAAACTGGTCTATCTTAATAAGATTCACACGCTGCAAAAGCGTGTATTTTTGCATGTTTTCCTATAGTTTCGGTAATAACTATCATCGTGGTTGCATTATTTAATTTGAGACGTGATACTTTAGGCTTACTCGCGAATAGATTTTTTTTTAAGTAACGTTGAAATATCGGATTGTGGCAGTTTCGGTTTGCGTTGGGGTGTTTAGTTCTGCTAGTCCTGCTTTGCTGCCTATGCTGTCCGAATCTGCTGCAGAAACCACAATCGTGTTTGTTTGTTTTACCTTGCCTGCGAGGATATACGAATGCCGGGGATGCTCTCTATTAGAAAGCAAGGCCAGCATCTCTGTAGGTTTGGAAGATCTTTTCGATCGAGTTGACGTACGCAGCCGAACGCAGATCGAGACCGAGGTTGTACTTCATGGCGGTCTTCATGATGGCACGGGCCGAACGTTCCATGGTGTAGTCCAGACCGGAGTGGACAATGTCCTTCTCCGAGGCACCGGAAATGCGCTTCTGGAACGCTTCCGATGGGGTGACGGGAATCTTACCGCCAACATTGCCGAAGCGTCTTTCCAGCGAGGCTTGCACCGACTCTGCAATTGACGTTGATAGAAGAAAGAAAAAAAATAACGATCGGAAGGATAACTTCCGTTAGTGCGACTGAGGCCGATTGCGGGATGGGATGAAGCATTGCAGGCGGAATGATGTAGAACAAAACGGAAACAACCAAAGATAGGACATGCATGTGAAAACGCTAAATCGCTATGATGACTCGGTTAGCACAGGTATGATTTCATCCATAGGAGAAGCATTTTCTCCAATAATTAGTTACAGCTCGTTTCAGACAGTCCCAGTGGAAAATTTTGAATACAATTTGCCGAGACATCGTGGAGATTCAATAACATGCGAATGGCTACCCCAAAACGATCAACTCACATTTAGCCACACCCACAAATCTCAAATCTTCAAATCGATGAAGCGCAGAATATTTTCAAATCACAAATAAATCGCCCCATTGTTCTAACTTATTTCGAAAACAAACAAGTTAGTTCAGTACATGTGTGTTAAATCGTATCTCTAATTCACTATTTCTATCTAATGGATTAATATCACAGAGTCGATTGCACGCATTTTGAGCAAATGTATGCAACAATCGTAAAACGTGTTAAAACTCGCAACTACGTACAAATGTGAAATGCAAAAGTGTGAATTTTCGTTCGAGTAGTGTTGCAAATAGAAAAGGATAGGTGTATTCAACTAAAGTTACACACTGAAGAAGACAGTGACAGAGAAAGGAAGAAAAACTTAAAACAAAACAAAAAAAAAAACAAAGAAAATTAAGGAAGGATCGGGAGAAAAAGTCTTCGGATGGATCGGAAGGGGTCTGATGGTTGGAATATAGAGAGGATGTGTGTGGCCGGATGGATTTCTGTTTTGCATTATCGCTTTGTTCTACACAACGAATAGTTGAAAGCTGTGATACTTTACGGTCCTCATCGACATATCTTTCAATTGATTCCTGGATAGAGGCTATAATGGTAGGAGAAAGAGAAGAAACAAAAAGAATGTGTAAACAGAAACAGAAGTAAGAGCTACCGAACGAAAACACGCTTGTCTGTGCATGGGCTCCGTTTAAATTTTCTTGGAGGGCGATCATTTTCATCTTCTGTTCTTATTTTTTTGTGTAAGCCAAATTCGAAAGGTTTACATTTTTTGAAAACAAAAATGATCCCAACCACAAATGATAGAACAATGGTTTTCTGAAATTCGTCTTACATCTGCACCATTTAAGCTGTAAAGCATTGAAATCCCAGTGCGATTATGATCTGAAATGATTTGTTCCCCGACTATGCTTCATAATAAATGGTAACATTTTTTTCTAAAACACCTGGTTGGTCAAAGTCTTTACAGAGAAAAAAGAACTTGAGCGATGAAACTGTTCAAATACAAATATCATTTAAAAAGAGTTGAGAAGCCTTGATTCTACATTACACTTAAAATCAACTAGATGAATAGGAAGACCTTTGAAGTGCCTCATGGGTATTAGACCTGTTCATTCTAACAGAAATGTTCGGGATGCACCGGGTCAACCGTGATTACTGTTCGTCGCGTTAATTTAGAGGTGCTTCAAGTTAATTTTATGTTTTTAAGGTAATTTATGGCTTATAATATTTGTATCTCGAGACTGAAACCACGAAAACTGCTGTAACAACTTTCATAGCAAAGCTTAATGTGTTATCTGCCAACTTTGTGACCAAAGGTTGACTATTCAAAGTGATTTTATTGAAGTTTGACTTAGTTTCTTGCTTGAAGATATCTTAAAAAGTGAAGAATTTTAAAGTATTTGTTCTACGAACTTTTCACCCATATGATATAAAAATGTGTAGTCTACGACATAATGTTCCTTATCCTGTTCTAGAAATTTCGTTCAAAAATAGGTTTCGTGTAGATTCCATAGATTGAGAGATAAAAATCAAAAAAGAGGCCGAGAGTTTTTTTTTTCCTTGATTTGTTTTCCGTTGATCTTGTTTTCCGTGCTGAGCACCAATGCTACCGACGCCAGGGAGGCAGCTTCCACACCTGGACCCTATCTATCGACCCATCAACTCATGAACCGGGGACCAACGGCTTTACTTCCCTGGCGTGATCAGAGATGTTATGCCTCAGAACATCCCGGCGGCGCCGACTGGGATTGAACCCAGGCCTGCTGGGGTGAGAGGTAATCACGCTTACCACTACACCACCGGCACCGCTAGGCCGAGAGTTGAAATTCACAAGACAACAGAGCCAATAAAAGCTTCAATTAGATTGACAGAACATAGTTGCATTGCTTTTCAATGACGACCGATGACTGTTTCATTGATAGATGATTTTTTTTAGAAATATGAATCCTCAGTAGACGTGTTTTTTTTATCAAAGGCGAGTGTCACTCGAGCCATCCAAAATGTTCGTAATTTTATAAATTGCATTGGATATCTTAAGTAAGAGGTTATAACTAAACAAGTGTTTCGATTATTCGTTGATAGAGGCCTCTCTTAACTCAATCGGTAAAGGCGCTGCTATAAAGCAATACCATATGTAGTAGACAGCTTTTGTGTCGTTTTCGAACCGAGTTTGCGAGTATATTCTCGGATGAGAACCTACCTGTCGAACACGTTTCTCTAGCAGCCAGTAATGTTCCAATGTATGGTCAATCTTTGGCAGCTATCAACATGGACCTCGCTATGATAACTAGGGTGGCTTCGCAACTGAAGTCTTCATTTAAGCCAGGACCTGACGGAGTTCCTTCCGTCTTTCTCAAACAACACATCGATAGCCTGGTGACTCCTCTCTGTCTTCTGTTCGAAATGTCCCTCTCCAGTGGGGTGTTTCCTTCCTGCTGGCTAATCAGCTGAGATGTTTCCAGTGCATAAGAAGGGATGCAAAAGAAAAAAATGTGTGCCATATCTAAACTGTTCGAGTTGGTCGTTATGAAACCTTCAAGCAGCACTTGAGCGAAGACCAGCATGGTTTCATGGCAGGGCGGTCGACTACTTCCAACCTTCTGTGTCTCATCTCGTACATTACGGAGAGTATGATAGACCATATGCATATATGACCAGATGTCATTTACACTGACCTATCAGCCGCCTTCGACAAGTTGAACCATCCTATAGTGATCGCCAAACTGGATAGGCTCGGTATAAATGGCAGTCTTCACATCCTATCTATCTGATCGTCAGTTGGAAGTTGCAATCGACGACTGCCGATCTCCTTCGTTCCCTGCCACTTCGGGTATTTCGCAAAGTAGTCACCTCGGCCCGTTGATATTTCTTGCGTATTTCAACGACGTCAATTTCGTCCTCGACGGTCCACGACGGTCGTTTGCAAACGACATGAAAATCGATCTCCGAATCCGAGCCATCGCTGACTGTCACCTTCTCAACTCAACGCTTTTGCTAATTGGTGCCAATTCAACAAAATGTTCAGTAATCACGTTCTCAAGGAAGAAACATCCAATTACATTCAGTTATACCCTAGAAGACGTACATCGTGTGAATCACATTAAGGATCTGGGAGTCATACCACCAGCATATCTCGTACGTGATCGACAAGGCATCCAGAACGCTCGGCTTAATTTTCAGGATAGCTAAAAGTTTCACGTACATCTACTGTTTGAAGTCGCTTTACTGCTCCCTCGTCTGGTCGGTGTTAGAATACTGCTGCCCTGTATGGAATCCCTATTACCAAAACAGTGTACAAAGAGTAGAGTCTATTCAACGACAATTCATCTGGTTTGCCCTTCGACAATTGCCTTCAAGGGATCCTCATCGCCTTCCAAGCTACGAAAGTCGGTGCCAGTTAATGCACCTGGTATTTGAGAAGACATCAAGAGGACTAGCAACTCCTCCATATTCTCATACAATCGGCATGAGACAACCACAATCGCGTCATCTGCCGCTCAATGATCCGAACCGATTTGAAAGCAAAGATTCCAACTTCAGAAGAGCGGTTTGTGTATTTGCTCGACGCGTTGTTTCCACCTTCGCTCAAGCGCAGCGCTACTCAGTGATGTAAAATATCATGACACTCACGCGACACTCGTCAACGCATCAACCGATCATTGCTGACAGACCGTTTTGTCACGCAGTGAGACTTACATTCATGGCAAATAACAATCACCAGTAATGGTCGCTGCTCACAGACAAAACGTTAAACTCGTCCTGTTCCCCTAGTTTGAAGTAATCAAGACTAGGAATCGGTGGTAGATCTTAAATCCCGTAACGTACCCCGAAACGGTGATCTACCCACGTTACGGGGCGTTCGCTTGTTTTACGTTGTGAAGGTTTTGGGATATCATTAATATGCCAACCATCAGACGGATCTCAGTAATTTGTGATGAAGAGTTGATTCAAGATCTTTTTTTTTTAATTATTATTGAGGTTTACATAGCCAATCAAGCTAAATTAAGCAGTTTTGGTCTGTATAAGTTCTTTTCAATCAGGCTAAATGGTAGATGAAGGACATGACATATTTATTTTATTTCTTAACCTTTTTAATATCGGTTAATAGGAATATTCGAACAATTTTGTAAACATGAAATGCACAAACTTTGTTTTATTTTCGCCTGCTCGGCAATTTTTTGCTGAGATTAGTTACTATACATTTATTTGTTGAGATTCAGCAAAATATATTCCGAAACTCAGCAACCAAACTATTGCTGAGATATCGGCAAACCATGTTTGCCGGAAGCACGAATGTGCAAATCTCTTCAAACAATATTAAGTGTGAAGAAATACCTTTGAAGAAAAAAAGACGCTACAGAAGCACAAAAAATCCAGTCTGGTATAACAGACAAATAAAAAACTTAAAAAATCGAAAACAGAAAGCACATAAACATTACAAAAAACACAATAATTGTGAAAATTTGGCTATCTATTTGGACTTATGCGATCAACTAGATTTAGCCATCAGTAATGCATTTGAAGAATTTAATTCAAAAACTGAACTTGAAATAAAGTCCTGCCCAAAGAACTTCTTTAATTACGTAAAAACCAAATTAAAATCTGACTATTTTCCATCAATAATGCATCTTGACGAACGTGTCGGGGATAGCTCGGAAAAAAATTGTAAGCTTTTTGCAATTTTTTTTCAAGAAATCTATACGACATTTTCCGATGAAGATCGCGACCGCGATTATTTTGCATTTCATCCAGAATTTTCAAGGGACATTGGCGTCAATCAACTTCAGGTGCAGGATATTTTGCAGGCTTTAAAGAATTTAGACGCCTCAAAAGGTCCTGGACCTGACGGAATTCCTCCAGTATTTTTAAAAAGTCTAGCAATGGAACTCACTGCTCCATTGTTTTGGCTTTTTAATATGTCACTGGAATCCGGAACCTTCCCAAAAATATGGAAAAGCTCATTTTTAGTACCTATTTTTAAATCTGGCCGAAAATCTGACGTACGTAATTATCGTGGAATAGCCATTATCTCTTGCATTCCAAAGCTTTTCGAGGCAATTGTAAATGAAAAATTATTTCTTCAAACCAAAAATAGAATTACTGACATGCAACACGGCTTCTTTAAAGGACGTTCGACCTCGACAAATTTACTTGAATTTATAGACTATTCATTAAATGCAATGGATAATGGAAACCACGTAGAAGCTCTCTATACAGACTTTAGCAAGGCATTTGACCGAATTGACATACCAATGCTTCTTTTCAAATTGAAAGAAATTGGAATTGAGCCAGGACTCCTGAAATGGCTTGAATCATATTTAACTAACCGCCAACAAATAATTAAATTCAACGGAAAGAAATCGACCCCAATTCAAGTCACCTCAGGAGTCCCGCAAGGCTCTCATCTGGGACCTCTTCTTTTTATTCTGTACGTAAACGACATTTCCTTCATTCTCAAAAAAATAAAATTGCTAATCTATGCCGACGACATGAAGCTCTTTTTGGAAATAAAAAATGATGAAGACATCAATATATTCCAGAGTGAAATACACATATTCTACACATGGTGTAAAAAAAGCCTATTAGAACTGAATGTAAAAAAATGCAACTTAATATCATTTAGCAGAAAAAGAACACCATCAAACATTTCAATTGCATTAGGAAATCAGAATGTAGAAAAATGTGAAAGAGTCAGGGATTTAGGGATTATCTTAGACTCCAAACTAACTTTCATAGACCATTACAATACAATTATTCACAGGGCAAATAACATGCTAGGCTTTATCAAGCGCTTTTGCTATAACTTTCAGGACCCATACACAATTAAAACACTATATATTGCCTATGTGAGGTCAATACTGGAATATTGCAGCATTGTATGGTCTCCATTTTCAATCACGCACGAAGAAAGATTAGAATCAGTACAAAAGCAATTTCTATTATATGCCCTTCGTAAATTAGGTTGGACATCATTTCCTCTTCCATCATATGAAGCACGCTGCATGCTTATAAACATACAAACATTAAAAGAGCGTCGTGAATATGCAATGGTTTCGTTTGTAAACGATATCGTTTCGCAGCGCATTAACTCAGCAGAACTTTTATCAAAATTAAATTTTTATGTACCTACTCGACAACTCAGAAATCGAAATTTATTTGCCGTAACCCATCATCGCACAAATTATGCAAAATTTGGGCCATTAAATCGCATGATGGCGTCTTACAATCAATACTGCGAAACCATTGACTTTTCAATGTCTCGGCATAAACTAAAACAATATTTTAACTCCATACGGAATCATAACTCGTAGGAAGTAAAAATATAATAGCTGACAATATATTTTTTAATATTCTTAAGAAAAACAAATTTGTATATGTATTTGTACTAGTCTACATCGGTTGATGAAATAAATAAATAAATAAATAAATAAAGAAAATTGTTTGAAAATGAAGTATAGTTTTTAAAACAGCTTAATGACCGAACAAATGCTTTTTGCAAAAACAAATTTGACAGTCCATCCATTGGCGCCAACTGAATGTGCAGGAAGGCAGCTTCCACACCTGCGTAGGATATCGCACCCATTCAACACACATGGGCCGGGACCAACGGCTTTACTTCCCTATCGAAGGAAGACGTGACCAGAGATTTTTATGCCTCAGAAAAATCCCACCGACCTCGGCTGAGATTGAACCCAGACCCAATGGGGTGAGAAAGCTATCACGTTTACCACTATACCACCGGCGCCGGCAAAAAGAGATATTAGGGAAAACAACTGCCCTTTCCAACAAAATTTTGTTCGTTGAAAATTGCCGAAGATGTGTGTGTGTGTGTGTGTGTTCAATCTAACCCCCACTGGCCGGCTGTGTTATTATGGAAGAACTCTCTCTACAATGTTGCAGTTATGGTCATTGTAGACAGTCCGGGAGTTAGAAGGTGATAGCTCTATTGCAGATCCACCAACCCATTTCAGAATATCTGGAGAGTCACGACTCACGATCTCACCATGTTAACTTGATCCTCCAATCAATGCGTTCCGTAGTTTTGATTTTCTCTAAGCTTTGCAACTCATTTCGTGATGCACCTTTGTCATAATACTTCCTTCAACGAACACACATTTTCTTGCTTTCCCATGGTCATCTGGGAAGTGGTTTGCGTTTAGTGCTTTCCCCAGGAACCGTTCGCGGCCACCAGCTACCACCCGTCCAGTCTTGGGCGTATCCAGCGAGGCATCTTTCATATTGCTCGCAATCTCCGGAACCGGCGAGAGACCAGCAGCCGAGCACTTTTGCAAGTGGAAAACTTGCTGATTCACGGCACGAATCACCATCAAAACTCGCGACGGACACATTATCAACACGTTCTCGGGCTAATTCACCAACCGGACCGGGTTCAAAATCGCCAATGGTGACAAATCTCTCACGCCGAAAGTGTGCCATCCGAACTCAAAGAATCGGGCTCCCGGGAGGCAATGAAAACCTTCACCGAACAATAGAATTGAAGCTGCGTCGTAGATTCTGGAGGTTAGATTCAAGGTCAACCGAGTCACTCAAGTCAATCACAGGCAAAACACGATATATCACTAAATGATAACTTTATGTGCACTTGAAACTAAATTTCAGCACACAAATTAACAATTTTAAAACAAAAAATGTTTAATTCGCTGTCAAAAAATACGAAAAACACGTCAGCTTTCAAGCCCAGCCTGCTGTGTTTTCGTTAAAAATTGCCGAAAATATTGCAAAAATCGTGAAAAATGTGTTTAATTTTTAAACTCCGTAGAGTGAGAATTGTTTGTTTTTTTGAATTTCGAACTATTCGACCATGTACTTATTACGAAGTTTTACGTGTTTTGAAAAACTTCGGTTTCTTAGGCATGGTTCGTGTAAATACAGTGAACTCTCTACAACTCGATATTGAAGGGACCATCGAGTTATAGAATTATCGAGTTATAGAATAACAATCCCATGCAAAATTGCTATCACAGTAGCCATGAAATTAATTTTTACTATGGTTCTATAACTCGATATCGAGTTAGTGGACATCGAGTTTTGGAGAGTCGACTAATTTCTTGATTTCTAATTTCTTCACCATGTTAGTTCTTGGACATTTATCAGTTGATTAAACATCGGATGCATGAATAAAAGATTGGTTTCAGTAAACCGTGACGAAATTTTTCGCGCGAAGTCCTCGCTTCACTACCCAACCCTGGTTTACAGAGCATAAAAAAAATAGAAAAAACAAGATTCTTCCAGGACCGACAAATGCGAAATCACCAGATAAAGGTAAACGCTAATCAAAGCAGGATTTTTCAACCTTTTCCGACAATTGCTGGCTGAGAAATTTTAGACAGTGGTCAAAATTTGTCTACGACAAGTTGGAATTAAAAAAAAACAGCAAAAAGTAGTTATATGTATGTATATATAAATAATACTGTAGGGTTGAGATGAGACGAACCAGCCCACGGCAAACCTAACTTGTAGCGGTTGCTCATAATCTTGAACTTTACTGCTTTGTGCCTTGTTCAGACTTCAGAGTTATAACATGTTATAACTTCGTAGTGCGCACATAGCATGACACCGTAGTTTAACAACAAAACAGGCAAAACCACGCATTCCTTAGAAAAAAAGAAGAAGTTAAATGGGTAAACAACAAAATAGGGGATTGGGGAAATCGAAATTGAAAACTCCAAACCCATACGCCTAGGGTGATGATTGATGAATGATGGTGTGCGCTTTCCGCCCACTACCAACCAAATGACACGATGGTGGAGTTAAAAATAGCTAAACAATCTAGGTATACCCATAAACCGGATGATGAAACTGAAAATGAGCCAAAAAATAAAAGCGCGTAATGTGGCATGTGGTGCAGAACTGGGCGGGTACTCACCGAGCAGGTGGTAGTTGGACTCGCGCTCGTACTTGAACGTCAGACGACCGTACGAGACGTGGTTTAGATTCTTGAGCCACTCGAAGAACGAAACGGTCACACCACCGGCGTTGATGTACAGATCTGGGATGACCAGAATGTTGCGATCGATTAAGATCCTGTCGGCGGCTGGAGTGGTTGGACCGTTGGCAGCTTCAGCGATGATCTACAAGTACGGGGAGAGTAATGCCAGTGACCACAGCCCTGCTTCACTTGAGAAAATCGCAACCTACCTTGGCGTTGATCTTGCCGGCGTTTTCACTAGTGATAACCTGCTCGATGGCAGCCGGAATGAAGATATCGCATGGCTCGTACATCAGATTTTCACCTTCGTACGGCAAAGCACCAGGGAATCCAACAATCGTTCCATGTTCGTTCTTGTAGTCTTCCAGAGCCTGTGATAAAGAGTGACATCGGTGAGATGCATGAACAGTAGATCGCTCACATGTTGATACTTACCTTGGGGTCAATTCCCTGCGGGTTGAAGATGGAACCATCATGTTCAATGATACCAATACAGGTAGCACCGGCACGGCACAGGTAACGGCACGAGTGCAGACCGACATTACCGAAACCTTGCACGATGAAAGACTTGCCGCCCCAGCCGGGGGTGGTACCGATCATGGCCATGTAGTTAGCCTCCTTGATGAAGTTGTCCAATCCGTGGAAGACACCGCGACCAGTGGCCGAGACACGGCCATGGATACCGCCCTGATTGATTGGCTTACCGGTGACGCAAGCGTGGGCGTTAATGTCCAGATGACCGATGGTCTTGGCGTAGGTGTCGGCAATCCAGGACATCTCACGTTCGCCAGTTCCCATATCCGGAGCCGGAACGTCAATACCCGGCCCGATGAAGCCCTTCTTCGCCAGCTCCAGGGCGAAGCGACGGGTGATCTTCTCTAGCTCATGTTCGGAATATTTCTTGGGGTCGATTTTCACTCCAGCCTTGGCACCACCGAATGGAACATCAACGCAGGCGCACTTGAAGGTCATCAGAGCCGACAAAGCTTTCACCTCATCGCGGCAGACGTCGAGCGAGAAACGGATACCTAGATAAAACAGAAACAAAGAAAACAAATCATTCAATTAGAACCACTGCGAACTAGTTTCGAAATTATACAAAATCGAATTGGCACCCGACGAGACACAATGGCAACCGTTCGAATCGAATGTCTCTCTATTAGGATCACTTTCCCAATTAAGTGTTGGTTGAGATGAGCGTCCCTCATCAGAAACACACCCCCACATGGTGAACGAACTTTACCCCATTCGCGCGTGATATAACCACCTTCGTCGGACCACTAGACAATCTTGTGTCACGTTTTCGAACGTCTGCAAAACCAATCGGTCCAATTGAGTCACGTTTTTGGCAATGCTTCAGAAACAGAAATACACATTGCAAAAGTGCAGCACCGACCGGCCCTTCATTGAGGTATTGATTTTTGAATGAGTTAGGAAAGGCGGTTATGGGCCACGCGGTTCCTTTAGCAAACCGATTTAAATACGAGCAAATGAGACAGGTGTTTGTGTAAGTTTGAAGCGGATTATAGTACGACTTTAGCTTATATCACGTAATATAGACTATAATATCAAAAATCATGAGTGCTCATTACCTAAATTACATTACATCAGCGATGATCTGAACATATTAATAGATTGATACGATACAAACTGTTTTTCTCGAACCAATATAGACGGAAAACATCCACTTTGTGACTGTTCTGAATGTTGTTCATGTAGTAGTGTACTGTAAAGTGTGTAGTGTAGTTTTTTTTGCTGAAGAAATATTATGTCTATCTGCAAACTGGTTCGAGATATAGGTATTCATTGTGTGGATATATAATTCTGATGATTTTTATTTTGATTAAAATTTTGAACGCCAAAAGATTCAGCTCTATCCTCTACTATTTAGATTGAAATGGTCACTAGTTTTCGTCATGTATGTTCATCAGGTCAAGAGAACTATTGGGCACAATAGTTCAAAATTCTAATCTCAATACTTCTTGTTATGTTTGATCGTGTGGTTAAAGAAATAGTCAGACTTCTATTGAAATATGCTATTTTTTAGGTGGACAGACGAAGTATCCCTTATTTGCTTGACTGTCTATTAGATCTATATACAGGGTGTTTGGTTCCGGGTTTTACATATTTTCAGACCGATCACGTTTGTCATAGTGCTCTTTGCTTTCTTTTTTGTTCATGATTCCGTTATAAAAAATCTGGGACTTTGAACAGTTATCTGAAGTCTATGACTTGGAAAATTGGTAACTACACTGCAATGCTCATTTCTGTTTGCAAACTTTGTAAACATATCAAACAGAAATGAATAAATAGTGTATTACTGAACTATAAGTGGGGATGGGTGGCATTCACTAGCCCGAGAATACCCTCCACATGCTAGCCTCTTCACCAACCATACATCAGTACACACTTATCGAGTCAGTAATTTTTACCGAGTTTTTGAATTGCGGTAAAATTTAAAAAATCTGTGAAAAATTCAAAGTTGAGAAAATCTGTTACGAAAATTTACAGACTAACTTCTGTTAACCCCGTGTAATGATGAAAAATAAAAATTTTCGATTTTATCCAATCTTTACGAATAACAGTCATTTGAATTTTAACCGAGTCAGTAATCCAAAAATCCAGTAAAAATGCTAACTCCTGTAAAAAAATCTAAGCGTGTATACAGAAGCAGCGGAGCTCCACGCTCCTTCATCGAAACAGCACCGCGAGGTTTAGGAGGTGCAGTGCGATTTAGGACTGGTCGATCGGGTGATTGCTGCTTCGAAAATCGCCGCTGCCTCTGTAGAAAAAAAACAAAGCATTGTGGCGGTAGGCTCAAGCTCGTTGGAGAGATCTTTCCCGCAATGTCTATCCCAACTCCGTTTTGCGATTTGGAACCGTCCGTAAAACGGGGCATATGCCTGGGGTACCCGGAGTTTAGCATCTCCGCGACGGAATGTCTGAGCGCCGCCGAGTTGTCTCCTACCCTAAACTGGTCCTTAATTCGGCTTTCGATGTTTAACGGTCTCGATTGCCAACTTTTTCCTCCTTGGCTCTTGGTTATTGGGGGAGATATATTGGTTATCGAGGAGATAGATCCATTCGTTACCCGATGTTTTTGCCAAGTAGGCAGCCGATTTGATGGCGTCTGCGGTGTCGATTCGATACCGGAAAGGAAGTACCCCGACTTCAGCGCAGGCTGTGTTGGCCGGCGTCGAGGGCAGGAGACCTGAAACTACCTGTAGCCGTTGTAAACTGATACAAGGACTTGCAACAGCTTGTCCTTGGCCATTGCGGTGAGCTCCAGACAGTAGAGTAGACGGATGTCAATAACTGCCTTGGCTACATGCAGCCGGATAGCTCGGTTGTTGGTGCGGTGCGGCATGGAGATTGTTTTGATAAGGTTTTATGTGAATCTTGCAACTATCCTTAACGCTCTGGAAGTGTTGCGTGAAGGATAAGTGTCAATCAACTAGAACGCCCAAGATGTGCATCGTTTTTTTTTCAGGGGGATCGGTTGATCCCCGATCTTGATAGAAGCGCCGTCGACTCGGTGACCGGAAGCGCAGACGTGACAGCGGATACTCTTTGCTGCTGAGAGTTGGAACCCGGCTGAGGCCGCCCATTTGGCAACTGCCGTTACAGCTGCTTGTGTTTGGATGCGCGTCCTTGCGATGGTGCGGCCGGTGGCCACAATTAGCACGTCATCGGCGTAGACGAAAATGTGGATGTTGAGTGGCAAACAAGTAAAGATCCGGTTTATCGCTATTATGAAAATCGTCACCACGGCACTCCTGTTTCCTCCAAGAAAGAAGAAGACTTGGTGTTTCACACGGCGACTTTAAACGATCGTCTTGCCAGAAAGCCTCAAATAAAGCAGTGGCGTCGCGTAACCTCACTTTTTACCTGTTCAACAACTTTGAAAACGTTATGTAGGGTCATTTTTACATTCGAATCAGTTTCAAAAGACATAGGGCCTTCTAGTTTCACTGATTTGTATTCATTGGTACCAATATTGTTTTGTTTGTTTAAGTTTTGAAAGTTGTTGAACAGGTAGATTGAGATTAGGGCACCGCCACTGAAATAAAGGAAAGGATATTTCCTTTGAATCCCCAGCTCTTGAAGTACTAACGGCGTCCATGTTCTGTTGAAGGCCTTGGAGATATCCAAGGAGATGATCTCCGCGTGGTGGCCCTTTTCCTGCGTGTCCTTTAACAGTTCTCGCAGCGAAGTTAAATACCTGGAGGTTCCCTTTCCTGTCCGGAAGGCGTGCTGCCGGTGGTCAAGGTATCCCTTTTCCTCTAATGCAGCGCTAAGTCGACGATTGACCATGCGTTCCAGCACCTTGCTTGCGCAGCTGGTTAACGCAATCGGACGGAATTTATCGGTATCTCGTGTGGTGGCGTTGGTCTTTGGGATCGGGATCACCAAACTTTCTCGCCAAGCGGCCGGAAAGTCACCAGGATCACGCCGATAGGAAGATTTTTTTAAAGGGGATAACCTATTTCGTCTGGGCCGGCCGAGTTGTCGGTATCTATATAAAGCTAACTTACGGCTTAAGGTCTTCGTGACATCCGGGAAGTCCGATTTTTATTTAGCAGTAAGCAGTTGGTTACTTGGGGTTGCCTTCCACTTTTTTTCCATCAGCATAATCAGCTAAATTTGATATTTAGAGCTGTGCTTTCATAAAATTAGAAATTTTGGTCCATATGACCGTGAGTTCAATATTTAATCATACTCTGCTACTCCACGCAATCAAAAAATCGTCCATCCAAGCAGGATCATAATTCCAAATTTTTATTTGATAGCTTATTGTCTGAAATCATCCGGCTCTTAAGCACACAATGAGGAACTAGAATTACAATTATTCAGAAATATATCTACTAACTTTTAGCCAGTCTTGCATTTACACAAAGACACTCCAACCCATTTTCAGAGGTTTAATTTTTGTTGGACCGAATTAAACACAGCGCCACCCAGAAACGCGCTAATCCACTTAGAGCATTAGTTTTGTCACAACCAACAATGTATAGCTCTACTCAAAGATGTAAATGGATTTTTACCGTCTCTCTGGATCCAGCACTCAGGGACGGCCCAAAATCATAGAACTGTAGTTCGCTAAGCAGAATCTCACGAACACTAGCGTGTTTATTCATAGGATTTCGACAGTTCTTACAGTAATGCATCTGTAATTTTTATACAATACATATGCAGCTGGAGAGGACTATGTTCTTTGTTTAGGCAATTAAGATAATTCATTTGAGCAACCACACCCATTGCTGAATTGAAGATTTTATTGATTTACAAACATCTAAAACTACATCGAGTAATTAAATTGCATCAGACTAGTGAGATCAGTAATACTTTTCAGAGAGGATTAAGAAATATTTCCCTGATTTTTAAAGAAATTCCCTGATTTTCCAGAACTAAAATGACTGACTAAATGTAAATTGGTATGCCCCTCGCGCGCCGCTAGCACGCCTCTAGTGTTGGGAATCTAAAATCTTTGACAGTGGTTTGTTTACACTTCTATATAGAACAACTGGTGTAAGTTTGATCAAAGTAGTCGATCGCGTTCAGAAATAACGTCAAATGGAACTCGAAATACTTAGTGCCTGGAAAATCCGGAGTGGTTTAAACTGGCTAAAGTGCTGAAGATACCGAAAACAACAGTTTGTTGAGTACTCAAAACCTACAAGGAAACCCAGAGTGTGGAAAGGAATCAGCGGACTTACGAAAAAACTGGAACCAGGGATCGTCAGCTGCGCAGCAAGGTGTTGAGGGGCGTTAAAGCCAACCCCGGTCTTTCAATCTGCGATGTGGCCAGAAGCTACAACACCAACTTTCAAACGGTGCAGAACATCCTTGCCAGGGAAGAATACAAGTCGTACCAAGCCAGTAAACATCCGAACCAGCACATGAAGCAGAATTCCGTGGCCAAAAAGCGTGCAAGGCTCTTGTACGACCTTGTTTTGACGAAACACAAGGGTTGCACTTTGATCGATGACGAAATATACGTCAACATGATTGACCGCCCACGATTGCT